GTCTGCATGTATGTAAGTGTACCACATGCATGCAATGCCCCGCAGAGGCCAGAAGATGGTGTTGAATCTTCTGGAACCAGAGTTACAGACAGTTGTTAGCAGTCACGTGGGTGCTAGGAATTGAACCAGAGTCCCCTGGAAGAACAGCAAGTATTCGTAACTGCTGAGCCATCTCTCCAGTCCATGTTCAAGTTATTTAAACCCTTAATATTCTCCATTAAAAAGGAAAAGGAGCTAATACTTATATAGGGTCTGCCACATGCTAGGTACCAGACCTTTTACATGTAACCTTTGTTAACCATTATAATAGCATAATCAGGTAGTGTATGACCTTCAATTTGCAGAGAAGGAAACCATGGCTTAGTATTGTTCATTGATTTGTCCAAAGTTACAAAAATAAGAAGTTATAGAGCTAAGAACGACCAAGTTGGGCTTTCCCAGTCCTGAATTCAGGCCATTCAAGACGTCCTATTGTGCTGAAATATTGACGATGACGGCTTTGAGCTGTTCTGTTACACCCTGGATGTGTATGGCATTTAAAATTCTTTTACTGCTTGTTCTTTTCATGGCTCAGGCCCTGGCATCGGGACAGTTAGAGTAGCACAATTGTTATTATTGTTTAGTCTCACATATTCTTTTTGCTCCAGGCAGAACTGAACAATGATGAGTTATATTTATGAAGGCAGCAGCTTGGAAGCGTGAGCTCTAGATTACCATTACAACTGTAGTACAATTTTGTTTTAAAGCTTAGCACCACTTATGTGGAAGGCTTTTCTCAAAGAATCATGCAGATAAACTGGTTCTTTGTATATTTAGAGAGTTCCTCATAGCTTCCCTTCATAATTTCAATCAATTATCCTGTGTTTCCCAATTTTATAAATGCTGAAATCACAAATGTGTAGTGTTCAAGAAAGCTGGTATGACAACTACTTGATATCTAATTTTTACACACCTATTGTTATTGTTATATCCAAATATACAAGAAAAATATGAGGCTTAGAGCCTCAGAGACATTACATTGCCTTAAAAAAAAAAAGTCTTAGTTTTCCCCATGTAGTTTACTCTTGTTACAATGAATTGGATCATATCTTCCATTAGCTACATTTTATCTTCCTAAAATAGATTTGGGATGTGACCCAGTGCTTTGATGATATCTGGGACACACATTTGCGAATTATCATTTGCACGGCATTAGAAAAAAAATCCAGTCTCAGAAGTTGTAGGGAGTTTGGCCTATCACTGCCATCCTTACAGACCCACTCTCACTCCCACTGCACATCAGATTGTTAACTGAAACCAGAACTCATGAGTGAAGAAGCCACTATAAATTATTGTGCTCTGGAAGGGGCTTGGAGCGATTACTACATAGTGACTTTAAGCTATTCTTCCCTCCCTCCCTCCCTCTAACCCTCTCTCCCTCCCTCTTTCCCTCCCTTCTTTCCTTTAGATTGAACCCAGGACCTTATGCATGGTAGGTGAGCACTCTAGCTATAACCCTAGACTTTTTTTTTTTTTTTTTGGCCTTTTTCAGACAGGGTCTCCCTGTAGCCCCAGCTGGCCTGGAACTTGATATGTAGACCAGACTGGCCTTGAACTCAAGGATCCGCCTAATTCTGCCTCTCAAGTGCTGGGATTAAAGGCGTGCACTACTACACCCGACTCACATCTATTTTTTAAAATGTAGATCCAAACTACTTTTAGATGCCTTTACTTAAACAAATTATTTACAAAATATTGTATTTATTTCTTGATTTTTCGTGTGTGTGTGTGCAAGGGCACAGACGTTGACATATCTTCCTTAATGACTCTCCGCCTTATTTTTGAGAAAGGGTCCCTCACTGAACTTGGAACTCAACAATTTGGCTAGACTAGCTGGCTAGCAAGCCCTAGGGGTCCTCCTGTCTGCTTCCTTAGCACTAGGACTATAAGTACATGCCAGTACACCTGTTCTTTTTTCATGGGTACCGAAGATCAAATTCAGGTCTTTGGGCTTACACTTTGCTAACTGAGCCACCTCCCCAGCCCCACCTTGATTTTCTTATCTGTGAAATGGGGATAAACTGAAAATACAGATAACTACATATGCGATTATATGTTTAGTTCAGTTCAACAAGCTTTTATAAGATAGTTATTAGATATTAGGGGTTGTGTTAGATTTTGTAAAGACACAACCTGTGTCTTTACTTAATATAAACATAAAATAATGGTCCTTTTTATTTCCTTAACATTTTCCATATTGAGTTGATATTTTTCTTTTCTTTTAGTTTTTAAAAAATATATCTTTCTGCTGGATGTGGTAGTGAAAGTCTTTAATCCTAGCACTCCAGAGGCAGAGACCAGCCTGGTCTACAAAGAGAGTTCCAGGCTAGCCAGGGCTATATAGTAAGATCCTATCTCAAAAAACCAAAAAAAAAAAAAAAAAATGGGACTGTGAAGATAGCTCAGTAGTTAAGAGCACTGGCTGCTCTTGCAGAGGACCTGGGCTCAGTTCCCAGAACCCATATGGTGGCTAACAACCATCCTTAACTCCAGTTCCAGAAGATCCAACACCCTCTTCTGGCCTCTGCAGGCATTGCATGACAAGGATTCACTTATGTACAAACACCCATACACATAAAAAAAAAATCACATTTATTTATTTATTTGTGTGTGTGTGTGTGTGTGTGTGTACTCATGCCACAATGCAAGTGAGGTGATCAGAGAACAACTTGCAGGAGTCACTTCTCTCTTTCCTCTCCTTCTAGCAGTGGGGATTGAACTCAGGTCCTAGAACAGTAGTCTTAAATAGTAAGTTAAATTGTATTCCCAAACACAATTTTCTCTATTACTTTCAGATTTCTGACCTTAATTTGCATATCTGCAACTTGAGGCATTTTTACGTATATCATTTGACAACCACCCCTAAGTCCTATAACTAGTAAATGCAACTTTGGTGATACCTCAGTGATTCTGATGCCATAGTCTTGTTCATTTCACTATATTATACTGCTTTGGCTATTATCCATATAACCATGGGCAAATTACTTAACCTCTGTGACTCTTAGCGCCTTATTTGTGAAGTAAGTGTGATGATCGCTTCCTTTTATTGTGAAGCTCAAATGTGATAATATATAGAAACATCAGTTGTAGTTACAGCTGATTAAATATCAATGTAGGATGATTTAAAAGTATCCCCCCCTCTTCTTCGCTGAGTTAAAAGAAATAATAGCAGAAAAGAGGCCAAAGGAGACACTCCTGAATAAGCAGTTTGCTCACCAGACCTGTATAACTTGTTCTTTGAGGCTGGACCAAGTCAGAGGGGTCTGAGTAACGTTAGGAGCTCTTAGAGGCCTTTCTTCTTTTTGCCTATGATGGAAAATATCCAAAATGCAAAGTGGAGCTGTCTATACCCTGGGTCTTTTCAGTCGTCTCTGCTACTGTATAAATGAAGAATTCTATGATAATGATAACTGTGGGTTGTGGTTCCCACAACTGATATTTGTCCTGGCAGCCACATTGACTAAGAAAAGAACAATCTGGAAGGACACATACTGACGTTAGGTTATAGCTTTACTGTGTACTATGCTAAACTGTGAGTTTGTAGCAATCAGTCTTCTGTTCTAGGCTTTTAAAATCCAGGGAGGTGCAGAAAAGCCTCCAAGTCACTCTTAAAACAAGGCAAAGTATGGTGCTTGTGAGGTAGCTTAGCAGGTAAGGAAGGGGATGTGCTGCCAAGCCTGATCACTGAGTGCTGTCCCCAAGACCCCTATGGTAGAAGGAGAGAACTGACTACCGAAAGTTGTCCTCTGACTTCTAAATGAGCATTGTCCCACACATATACCCCCCACATACACACACAAGTAAATAAATATAATAAAAATTTAATAAAGACAGGCAGAATATAATAAGTGACTTTGGATCAACTAAGAAGTTGTATGAAGAATTCCTAGAAGGCTTCCTGAAGTAGGCTGCACACACATGAGCCTTTACAGATGAGAGTTTCAAGTACTTGGTTGGTTTTTGCAGTTGAGGTGGTAGCTTGAGAAACTGTAAAGATGAGGATACTTAATATAAGCAGGAACTAATATGGCCTTTATTAAGCACATACTACAATGGTTGGTGTGAAAATACATACAAATACATAAAAATGCTCTTGTCATTGAGAGTTCTAGGGTGTAGGCTGGTATAGACAAGCCATTAGGGAATGCTGACTACCTCATGTAGGGAGAAAGATTAATACAAAGAGTGTGTACTGTGGATTTGGGGAGAGGTGAAGATAATTTGCAAAGGAGGTGACACTGTCCAGAGAAAGAAAGATGGAACCCAGGGCTTTGTGTAGCACTGTGCCACTGAGCTGTACCCTGGACCTACATCTGTTTTTTATTGAAGAATCTAAACAAGACTGGCAGCAGCCAAGAAAAATATTCCTTCCTGCTCCCCAGATTTAGGCTCTAAGGAGGAAAGGACTTACATGTCTTCTTTTATAATGTAATAGCAGGTAAAAAGGTTTTGAAGTCAAAGTGGGATAATAATCCAGTTTCCTTTTTCTTTTTGTCTTTTTTGGGACAGGGTCTCCCTGTAGCCCCAGCTGGCCTGGATTCACTATAGAGACCAGGCTGGCCTCGAACTCACTGTCCCTACCTCCCAAGTGCTGGGATTAAAGGCGTGTGCCACCTTTAATCCTGGTTTATAATCGAATTTTCTAGTCACTGTGTGACTTCAGGTAAAAGCACATCTTTTTGTTTCATTTTCCTCATTTGCATAACATCTGTTTCAACTTCCCATTCATACAATTCAAAAGTAAAGCATTTAGAACAGAGCCAATCACATGGAAGGCCTATCATTTATTACTATTACTAAAGAATTATTATTCATTATTATTACTTCGTACCATTGTCTCTTTTGGTGTCCACAGCCACCCGGACCGTGGGTATAATTTTCCCCACTTTCAGAAGTTTGGGTTTTTGCCTGGCTGGAAGCCGGGCCACCAGGCGCCGCCTCCGCCGCCCGTCCGCCTCCGCTCTACATCCGCCCCGGGTTTTCCAGGGCCGCCCGGGTCGAGGCCGGGGCCCGCGACTCCCACGCCGGGCTTTGCGCGCCGCCGCGGTCGGTCGGTCGGCCGGCGGGGCGGGGCGGGCGGCGAGAACAGGGAAGTTGTCGAAGTTCGGGGAGACGCCCGGGGCCGAGACTCGCCGAGGGCCTGCCCTCCGCCTCCGCCTCCTCCCCGCCCGAGCCCGGTCCGCGCGTCCTTCCTTCCCCTCCCGTGCATGATGGAAACACCATGGCTGCGGCAGCCCAGCTCTCCCTGACACAGGTAACGCCGCCCGCCCGCGGCCCAGCTCGACCCCCCGCTGTCTGCGGCCCTCCCCGCACCGCCCTCCGGGGTCCGCGCGGACGCAGCCCCGCTCGAGCCCCGGTCGCCGGGCACTCGGCCCCGCCCCACGCGGCTCGCTCCCTGCGCGGTCCCGTCCGAGCCCTCCCGCTCGGGAAGTTTCTCGGCCCGGCCCGACGGCCGGCAGGTGAGCGCGCGTGGAGCCCGCGGGCAGCCCGTCGGGGCGTGCGAGGCGCCGGCGTCCCTCTCCCCGAAGTTCCTCCGGCGGCCCACTCCGGAATCTGCTGCGGGGACCCGCCCCGCGGCCCGCTACCGAGCCCAGGCCGCCCCGCTCCGACCCCCGTGCAGGTGTTTCCACCCGGGTCCGCTTCCCTCGGCCCCCGAGGAGGGGCAGTCCCGGGGGTGACCGGACCCCGCAGCAGGTGGGGCGGTGCTGACAGGCCTGGCGCCGGGACAGCAGTCGGCGCCCGCTCCTCTGGTCTTTGGCGTCCGTCTGCGCCCGGGGCTGGTGTTCGGAGGAAACCTCAGAACGTACCGCGGAGCCTGCAGAGAAAGTCAAGGGCAGCCGTCCCGCGGTGCCAGCCCCTTCCAGCGCCTCCGACCAGCCCTGGCCTCCCAGAGCCGCCGGCTGTGCCCGTGCTGGCCCCGGCCCACCTCACCCTTACCCTGCCCGGTCTCAGCGCTCTGCCATCTTGTCTCCTTGGCCTATAAGTTTGCCTGTGCTTAGGCTGAGGCTTTACTGCTGAGGCAGGGTATGTGTTTGGGCAGTAGACTGACTTTGTGTGTCAGTGTTTTGCCTAGCACTCTGGGACAGAGAGAGAAGTCTTTTCCCTCCAGGAACCAGGATGGAGATTTTGTTTGTTTATTTAGAGACAGGGTCTCATGTAGACCAGGCTGGCCTCTAACTCACTGTATAGTCAAAGATGACTTTGGACTTCGGAGTCCTGCCTCCATCTCCCAAGTGCTGGGATTATAGGGTGAACCACCATACACAGTGTATTCATTGCTGGGGATCAAACCCGGGGATTCATGCGTGCTGGACAAGCACTCTACCAATGGAGTCACATCACCAGTCTGACTTTATATATCCGTGCTTCAGGCAAATAAATAACTTCAGCTTGCAGGAATTGTAAGTGAATTTTAAGTTCAGTTTATTTCCTGTTTTGACCACCTGATAACGGGGAAGAACTTTTAATATTCAACCTTTAACTGGTTTAGTCTTTGCCATGAATCTGTTTGGAAGGTCCTGTTGAAACTCAAATTTGAGAAACGGAAAAATTTACTTTGAGTCTAGTTAGTGACCTGCATTAAACATGATCTCTGTTGGCAGGCTGTTGTTTTCTGGTTCTGTTGGCAAATTCTGTTTAGAGTTTTCCCCTTTTAAAGATTTTGTTTTCTTGAAGACTTCTGTAGAATTGCTTTTTGTGTGCCTACTTTTCTCCTTGGATTGTACTGTTTTTAGTTTCCGTTCACTATCATTCATCCCCGGAGATATGCTTCAGGCTGTCAGTTTTATAGTCACTTTCATAATACACATATGTTCTTGTGTTTATATATTTAGGTGTTAAACATGTAAATGCAGAATCAATAACGGAATTAGCCTTTAGTGTCTCATATTTGAATTTATGTTGATAATTCAAATAAGTCAATTTAGAATATTTTGATTTTAAAATCCAAGATGAACTAAGATTATATTGTAAAGGCACAGAAAAGAACCTTCCCAGTTTGTTCTTTTGTTCGTTCTTTCTTCTTCCCTCCCTCCGTTCCGTCCAACAGGGGCTCACTTTGTAGTCTGGCTCACCTGGAACTCACAGAGATCCACCTGCTTCAGCCTCTCCAATGTTGGGATTAAGGGCATGCCCTACCATGCCTGGCCACATTTTTGTCTGAGACAGGGTCTCCCTGTAGCCCCAGCTGGTCTGGAACTTGCTATGTAGACCACGCTGGCCTCAAACTCACAAAGATCCACCTGCCTCTGCTGGGATTAAAGGTGGGTGCCACCATGCCTACCTATAGTTTTTTTTTTTTTTAAAGACAAAGGCCTATATTACCATGGCTCACCTGGTTGATGCTTGCCACATCGCTCAAGCCAGCTTGAGCTCTCAGCAGTCCCCCTGCCCCAGCCAAAATACTGAGATTGCAGGTATGGGCCACTGGACCAAGTTAATTTAAATTAAAAACAAAAACAAAAACCCACAAATTTGCTAAGTTTTAAAAGGAAACACATTTGCAAATGTTAAAAACAGGGAAGGACAGGGTTTGGCAGTGTCATACCTTTAACCTTGGTACTGGGGAGGCCAGCCTGGTCTACAGAGCAAGTTCCAGGCCAGCTAGTGCTACAGGGAGACCCTATCTCAAAAGAAAAGAAATTATTATTTTTAATTATGTGTTTTTGTGTCTGTGTATGGGTATGTGCCTGTGAGTGCTGGTGCCTGAAGAGCTGGAATTACAGGCAGCCATGAACCCGAGCGTAGGGGCTGAGCCGCTTCTCTAGCCCCTTTCCTTCCTCTTTCTCTGCCTGCCGACCGGACCTCCAACTCCCCCTTTACCAAAAGATTGAAATTGTATTTTACCTTCTAGAGTGATACTAGATTAATAAAATATGAATGCCATTTCCAGCTTTGCCATCAGATACGCCATTGAGCAGAATCTTCAGGTCTCTGTTTCCTTACTTTAAAATTCATCCAACAACCATTTGTTGAACATTTACTATCTACCGGGAGTTATTCTAATTACTTGGGATATAGTAGTGAACAAATTATTGTAATATTTAGAGCTTGAAGAAAAACACAGCTTAAAATTTAAGGAGAATTTGAGTATCATCTAACTTCTGCTTTGTAAATCACGCCCTGTTGATACGGTACTTGGTGCTGCATGCAGCCTTGCTGTTTCTAGTTTTCAGTTTTCAGTAGATATTCTTTGTGTTACTGTTGTTAAGTAAAATTTGAAGTCATTTTTGTTAGCCCAGGCCAGTTACTAATCCCAGCACGTGGGCAGACAGGATTACTGTGAGTCTGAAGCTAGCATGGTCAACCTAGTGAGTTGCAGGCCAAACTGAGTGAACCTTACTCTCTCAAAAACAGAAACCTTGAATGAGAAAGATCTGCTTTTTTATTTTAAAATACATTACAGAAAAGACAAGTAATTCTTTTCTTTTCTCTTTTCTCTCTCTATTTTTTTGAGTGTTCTGGTGATGGAACTCAGCCTTAATGCATGCTAGACAAGTATTCTATCACCGAACTATATCCCCCAGTAAAATGTAATACTTCCTTTTTAAACTTCTCCAGTTGTCCTTTCTTCTTCTAATGTCTTTATCTCATCTACTACTATTATTATTTTTATACTTTTTACTATTGCCAGAGGTTATACTTGGCTTAATTTTTTTATTGTTTTTTTGAGACAGGTCTTTCCCTGTAGCCCCAGTGCTCCTGGAACTTTATGTAGACCAGGCTGGTCTTCAACTCAGAGACCCTCCTGTCTCTGCCTCTGGGGACTAAAGGCGTGGGCTACCACACCCAGCTACTTGGCTTAATTTAATAATTCATTTTCATTTTACAAATGAAGGAAATAATTTAAGTGAGGTAGGAAATGGTAGGTCAGAGTTTTTGTGGTCTGGGTTTGTTTGTAGTTTTTGTTTTGTTTTGGGTTTTTTTTTTTTTTTTTTTTTTTTTTTTTTTTAAAAAAAAAAAAAAAAAAAAAAGAGGACGATAAATCTTTCACTGTGATATATCAAAATAA